AAAGATCCAGGTTATTTTAGTCATCGATGAGTCATAGATAAAAACTTGTGTGGCTAATTGTTTTCGTGAAAGTAAAATTGGAAAACATTTATTATCAAAATACAGAAGACCGGAAACTTTTTAGTCATTTTGCAGTCGACCTCACTGTTGAGGTGTCGCTGGGCAACAGTGGAGTAGAATAAATATATGAAAAAAAATCTACTGTTTCACAGCAGTAAACCGTGGAACTCTTGATTGGTTAAGTGTTCTCTTTAGCATACAAATGCACTGTTTTTCTATTAATTTTTTTCCAGACTAAATCAATAGCATGAATAGCTGTAATAAATAGTATTTATTTGCAACAGATGTCATTGAATAGAATTTTGCCATAGAAAAGATAGCTCCTGGCGACTGAAACCTATGACGTCATCGATAAAGTCAGGGGAGCAAAAAAATAAAAATAAAAGGGTAAAAAAAGTAAAGTAAACTAAATAATAAAAGATAAAAGAATAAAAGTATTATATAGAGTACAAAAGATAAAAGAGTTATATAGAGTATAAAAGAATAACAGAACTATATAGAGTAATTTCGGAAACGCGCGATTTTCTCATGCCACATTCAACTTCTACTCAAATGTAGGTACGTATTCGGAATCAGCAAACATCAGGCTATCCTTCGGTAAAATGTTTTTTGAAAAGTCAAGATTACGGTTACACGAACGTTTTTTTCTGTAAAGAGTCGCAGTTAAAAAAGCTTTCTACAGTAAAATGAACGCGAAAGCTAGCCAAGCACTAATCGAGTTCAAAAAGAGGTTAAAACACTCATCTCATGTTCCTGCATCTGTGGTACGAGCGATTAAACGCGGTGTATCTAGTCCTATAGGGAGGTTTTAAAAAAACTCTCGATTTTTCAGATAAAATGCTTCTTTTCTCATTAAAAAAAGGCTTTTATCCAAACAATCTATACATATTCGGAATCAGCGTGGAAAACTACATCGAGTGATGTATCACTTATTAGTTTTATAAATAAAAAATTGTTTGACAGAAAGAGATTTTTCATCGGAAAGAATTCTTTTTCGAATATGACTTTTTTTACTCCTATTAAAATTTGACGCATAATAAGACAATATTATATGTCATATGAGTTAAATAATCATTCTTTAACTCATAAAACCAGATGTCCGTCTGATCTATGGAAAAATGTCCACTGTATACGCTGCTATATACACTAGTATACACCGTCATAATAGTCCAAGTTTGCATTTGACTGATTCGAAAGTGACTCGAGTCAGTTTGTTAAGTTTATCGAGTCTTTCGCATCGAGTCCGAGTCACAGAAAAGTCGCGACTCGGCCTCACTTATCTCTGCCTGTATATGACCGATTCTAAGAAATAAACCTTTAAAACTTATGCGATTCGCTTAATATCCTTTTCTCACGTTTTTTGCATTTTACAAGTTGTGAAGCGTCGTCCGCGCGATTCTGCCGCCTCTGTCCGTCATTGATACATGTGTATGTGTGTTTGTATGTGACCTCAGATGACGTACAAACAACCTGCTGCTACTAGTATACATAATGTGTTTAATGACTTTACTCTAGAAGATTCACTATGGCTGCAGCGTTAAAATGAAAATAAAGATGCATTTCAGTTAACCGTTGCGAAAAAAACGGTCCTAAACATCGTCGAACGCCATATGCTTTTTCCCTTCATATCAGTTAGTTTGATGTACAGGAGAAAAAGAAGTGCCCTATATCTTGTCATAATGATATAGGACATTCCATGACCTATGTATATTTCATACCTATTTAAATCATTTTCAAACAAGCGTCTTTCAAGGAATATTTTACGTCAAAATAACCACTTTATTTCATCTCTTTTACTCTTTTACAGATATATGTTAACATGTGATATTTGCAATCTGTGAACAGAACTACAGAGCACAACTTACAATGGCTTCTATTCCATATTGTTTTAGTATTTTACGTTCATGCAATGAAAAAATTTGTAATGAACGCCGTGCCACAATATCAGATCCAGGAACACCACCGACACCTGTGACTGCCGAGGGTATTCAAGGTTTTCGTCAATACTTCCCGTTTTTTGGTCGGAGCAACAGTTTTAGCGCCGATCCGTCATCATCATCTTCAACAACAACATCTGATGTATTAGCAAAATGAAAAAATGAAACGTTATTCATATTGAAAAACAGGCACTGATATGTAACTATATGTATATTTCCTAGCCAGTTTCATACTGTTTATTAATTTTTACTATATTAAACTTTCACTTTATTATTATGGCAGCTTTCTGGATTACTTTGAGATAATGAACACTTCGTTTTTGTAGTAGAAAAAGAGACTAAATTAAATGAGCTTGGAACAAGGCGAAAACTAAGCTACATGCTCTCACATTGGTGAGGGTGAATTTTACAGTTAAACGATTCACCAAACTTTTTCTAATTTGAAATTAATTTGAATTAATGATTCTTCTCAAACAGGTACTAACCAATTTACTATTGTATTAATACATTTATCTGAACCATCTGGAGATTGAAGAGTCATTTAAAGTCGTCAGTTAGTTAAAATTATTCAAATGAAGTTAATTTGAAAGATTTGTTGTTTGAATTCGTTTAACTTCCTTTAAATCTCGAATTAAATTTAAATAAATTAGAATTTATTATTATTTAAACGTTTCAATATAATAGGTAGGTGCTTTTTTTTCAACAAATAATAACTAGCTCATGTGTAGTTAATTAAATTGTTTGCTAGATGAGCTAATTGAACTTTCAGTACTCTGATATCAGACTATTGTGGTCTCACTGTAGAAGAAAAATTTCCCATTCAGAAAATTACATTTACTTTCATTCTATTACAGCTCTAGCAGTTAAAAAGAATGCAATTGATTCTCATTCATTCTATTCTCATTCTTATTGTTTTTCTTTATCTATGACTCATTTTTACGAAACGATTTCATAGATTTTCTTTTGCTTGTAAGGCAAAAATGAGTCATAGAGAAAACACAGTGATAATGCAAAAATGAGTCATAGAGAAAAAACAATGAGAATGAGAATGAGAATAGAATGAATGAGAATTAATCGTATTCTTTTTAACTGCTAGAGCTCTATTGACTTCGGATACTGAATAGAAAACATTCATATTATTCCAGTTTTTACGCTCTTTCGGCTGATATATTTCTCCCGAATATCAAATTTAAAACGGATCAAAATAAAAGGACGCATAGCCGCTTATTGTGAACAAAAATTCACTTTAATTTTTAGAAATTTATTGCTATCTCGACTTGATCTAAAGTATTTTTAAGAGTTGAAGACAATGAGTTGAATGCATTCAACTCGTTTGATACTCCATGGAGAATCGAATGAGTACGGTCACAAGAAATTCAGTTCTTGACTGATATTATAGTGTTTCTGCACTAGCGCACAAACGTTCTCTTGAATGTTTAATTACATCTTTGATCTTTTCTTCATCGTAATAATAAAGCATAATGTTTTAGTTCAAAGTTTTATTTAATACTTGCTTTGTGAATCTCCACTCATCATCAGGTCGCCGACACATTGTGTGGCGCTAGTTTATCAGAACATATCAAATTAGACAACGTAGCGGCTATTAAAGGGTTATGTAAAAAAAAAACTAAGTATGAACTCTCAAAAATTCCCAGATCCCAGGTGTATAAAAAAATAAATATCTATGCACTTCTAATTCAATTAAAATTATGAATTTTCAAAATTCTTACAGTTCTGGGACACGAGAGTGGCTAACGTTCAGAGTGCGTAGTTGGGTTATGTGCTATCCACCCATCACAAGCTTCATTTTACGACAAAAGCAGTATTAATAAAAAATAAAAAGCATTTTTCAGGACTACTAACTAACAGGTGCTACGCGGCTTGTCCAAGCGTGACGCTGTGACATTTATGACACAGTAATTTGAGCTTTTCTCAAAAAGTGTAACAGCTAGAAACTTTTTTCTTGTACCATTCGACGCAGCTCGTCATACTCTACTTTTGGTATAAACATGAAGGTATGTGCTTGAAGACTCGAATTTATAGAACCGTTTTTCGGCGCGTGATGCTGTGACAAAAAAGGCCCTAATTTCCAAGTTCTTCTTATTAACAGTTAATTTGCTGCGAATTTAGAAGAGCTAATAAAAAGCGCCTCGTGCAAAGTTTGTAGAGGAGTAAACGAGCTACTGATTGCTAAAAAAAGAATCTTTCCAATGAGCCTTCCATCTCTCAATAGTTGTGTTTTAACAGCGTGACACTGTAACATTTTTCGTGACGCTGTGATACACTTTTTTCCCAACAAAGTTTGGAGCACTAAACATTG